AAATAATTACAATTGTACACACCTCTGCTTAGATTCTGAAAGCTACTGTAAAGGTAAAGCTCCCTAGTATGAGAAACAAATTTAGTCATATCATTATGAAGTAACAGTAATGAAGTAGACACCTGCTTAACTTGCTTGATGGGAACCTATGTTTCTTATTTTTATCTCTTTTTTGAGAGGGTAAGATCATGCTGTCTCAGTGATCCACAACTTTGCAAGGCTGTTATGGCTGTCATGTAATCAAATGACTAATTTTTTACCATTGCTGATCCTAGTACAGAGATTTTATCTGGAGCCTTTGTAATTTCTGTTCTTCCCAGGACATTAACACCTTTGCATGTTCAGCCTAGTGGAAATATTTAATTCACTTGCACAATAATGAGCTATAAAAATGTGAGTGTAGCGCCTGCATTGGAAACCTTTGGTCGAGCTTCTGACTGTGATTTATGCTGCTATTGTAAAATCTGTGGAAATGCCCCCAGATGAAGATACTCAGCCTGCAGAGGAGGGCAGTGAGGGCTCCACAGGACCCTCTCACATTCTCAGTAAGCACTCTGCTCTCAGCTCCACGAGTGGGATGGATAAAAGGGCACCTTGTAAGAGCTTTAGCCCTCAGTGCATGGGGCTGGGATTTCCTTATTCTGCCTTCCCTGGTCTGCAGTGGCTGCCAGGATTGTGTCCAGGCCACATTCTTTCCACTGCCAGGGGTGTTTGCTGCACTATCAGCTGTGAATGGGGGAACAGAGCCCTCAGCAAGGGGCTGGCACACAGAGGCAGAGGAATCATCTCGACTGGCCTGACCACATACATGTCCCTGGGTCTGTATTCATTTTTTTGATTAACAACTGAATATTGAATTCAGGAGCCTGAAGTATTTTCAAAAGCCTTTCAGTTCAGCTTAACTTTGGTGTAGAGAAGTCCTTCAGTGCAGCCAGTCACCTGCCAGCCTGCTGTGCTGGTTTGGCTCGCTCAGTTCCAGTCTCCAAACAGAAATATGGAAGGATCCCCAGAAGAGAAGAGGGCAGTGAGGGGCCAAGGGACTTCCATGAGCCCTGAGTATTGACTTCAACTACACAAGTAGTTGGAACAGCAGAGGAATTGGCTCAAAGAAATTTTCAGAGGTACCCAGCAGGGGAAGAGACAGCACTGATCAGAGAGATGACTGGCTTGGAGAGCAAAACAACGCAACTGGAAAACAGGACATAGCATTAGGAAACGCTCCCCATGCAAGAACAAACAAATATTTGTACAGGGGAATCTGCAAGTGGCACTGCTTTCCTCCCACACTATGTAGGGTTGCCAAAGTGATGGGATCCCTCTGAGTAAGGCACATTTAATGTATGCATAGTGGATATCAGTGTCTGAATGGTCCTCACAAACCTTGAAAATTAGGTAAATTTCACAATCCTGAATTTTTGGCTGTCTGTTCATAATGTGAATAAGAAGCTGAAAGTTCATTGGAGTCAACTGGTAAGACTTTCCTGGGAATGTCTCTACAGACATTTCTTTTCTTAGCTGAGGAGCTCCAGGATCTGCAGCAGCTTCAGGGAGCAAAACACACACTTGTCATACAGACACAGGGAGGACAACTTTCTTTTGAGTGTGTGATTGCAATGGATGGAGAGGCATCTTGCTGATTTTGGAGATAACACAGTCCTCAGCATCACCATTTAGGTGTAGGAGTTGTATTTGTTATGAGTTCATTGAAATATTACCCTGGGACCAGTGAAAGAAGGCATAAAAATTTCTTATTTATTGCTGAACTTTATAAGCTTTAATGGAAAATCCTCGAAGCAGAATCGCTGAGTGGGACTTAGTTGTGAACTCTGAAAATTGTTTCTGTTTAAAACAGACATGATGTGATGCAGACCTGAGAGACAGGAGAATTCAGAAAATCTCTCTCCCCTGTCATGTGTGTAGCTTTAAGTTCATTCTCCTACATCTTCAAGTTAATTTCTCTTAATAGCTTAATACCTATAAAATTATGGAAGGATGGTTTTATTGTTTATGCATTTTATGAAGTCAATAAATAAACCTTAAGCAGAAGTGATTAAACCTGAAATGGCAGCAGGGAATAGCTGTATCTCTTCTCCGTCCTCTGATTCATTCCTAAGTCAGGATTTACGACTAACTCAATTAAATACACACTTTCTGCATAATTGCCCATTTGCTAGCAGAAAGTAGTCAGTTGTCAGGGATTTTGTTCATTTCTGGGTTGGCTGCCTGAGAACATAAGGAATTGGGAAGAAACTTGGAATTACCCATAAATTTTCTTAATTGAATTGAGCATGAGCTTTCAAGCTTAAGATGTGAGCAAGGAAAACTTTACAGTTTCCAGGCAGAGCTGTCTCCTCGCAGTTATTTACACAGAGCTGCTTTGACTTGCTGTTAAAAAATTACACTGGGGCAGAGATTAGGAATTCAAAGAGCAGTTTTGTAAGGAAAATACCTCAGTTTCATTCAGTAAGAGGAGATGTATTAAAGGAGGGAGAGAAGGGGGGCAATGAGCAGGGCAAAGAAAAAGTCAGGCACTATTACTTCAGGCAGGTTTGAATATTCAGTCAGGGAAACCTTGACCCAGCAGAGCCTTTAGAATGTACTTTTTTATAATACTTTGGTGAGACAAGTGAGAGCACATGGCCCTAGATGCCTCCTCCCTCCATCCTTCTCTCCTCATCACCACTCATCTGGTGTGGTTCTAATATTTTTGAGGTGTACAGTTGAGGGGATTGTGTTTCTGTCACAAAGCTACTGTAAAATTTCTAATCCCTTGTTAAAAGTGACTCATGAACTCCTTTTTTCAGGCTTTAAATGTGCCTTATGGAGGACATGTCCATCCTTTTAAAGTTTGTGCTGAAGCAGTGCTCTGCTGCCCTTTGCTGCATTTTGATATGAATTGTTAACTGAGATCAGAAATAACTAAGGAGATCTCTGATAAAAGGAAAATGTTCTTTAATGCAAAAAGATGCCTGCTTTTTCTGCATGCACACGTGTTCATAGCATTATTTTAGCTCATCACAAATAAGGTAACTTACATTATTGACTTAAAATATTGCTGTTTTTAATGAAAATGCAGCAAATTGTTCTGTGCCAAATGGCATGTAATATTTAGGAGCAATATTATGCCTTCTATTAAATATAATTTAAAATTAGTACCTGCAGCTTATAATATACCCATAGGATCTGGACATCTGTCCTAGGGTGACTTTGTGACGTTGAATTGTATTTTTGTTTGCTTTTTTACTCTAAAAATAGATTTTGTACTTTTAAGACTAATTTTAAGTATAAAGAAAGGGGAAAAAACAAAGTGTAGGGCTAGTTGTACATCTTTTGGTCTTGCCACCATGAAATGTTGGTGTGAGGTTTTATTTAAACTAGCACAGAATTTCTTTCAGCGTGTTCCAGATCAGCGTGCAAGCAGTGTAGCCAGAGCAGCCAAATGAGTGGTGTGTATTCCACAGCCTTCAGTGCTGGAAATTTTGCGTCTCTCCCTATAGTGTATGCTGAGAAATTCATTCCTCACGTTCAGATGTCCAGCACCTGACAGTGACAGGGCAGAGGGAGAGAGGGGGATGCAGTGCTCCTTGTGTGATGCTTGGCAGTGCTCTCTGAACCCTGGCTGCCAGGGCTGCTCAGCAGGGTAAAACAGAGGCAAGGGGGTGAATTTTGCTGCACTGCTGGCACAGAATTCCTGGCTCTGGGCTGAGGTTTTCAGTAGCACCAGCCTGAAGCGCGCACACACCATGGAACTCTGCATTCCTCCCCCTCCCGCCCAAGGCTTTTGCTTTTTTGGGGGAGGTGGTGGTTGTTTTTCTGTGCCTGCTGACGTCAACAAAATTGCCAGATGGCATGTCAATGCTTTGCAAAGAGACAGGAGCCTTTTATTACCAGGGTCACGTGGATCCCATTCATTTGCAGTCCCAGAAGTGGTCTAAAGCTTTTGCTCACTCTATAGGCAAAGAGTGCTCTGCAACTTCCAGGGACCTAGAGAGCCTTCTGTGGGATATTGTCACCTTGGGAATCCTTTAAGGGATGCGGGGATGAAGGCTTCACTTCATGTTCATTTGGCTAATGTGGAAATACCGAAAGTCTCTAGACGGTTGTGCTTTTCAAGAGGTTTTGTCGGTTTCTTTTTAAACAGCAAGGGAATACTTTTGTGAATTTAAGGCAATAAACAGACTTAGAGTTTAGCTCTGTAAGAGGGTTGCTTACACTCTCTCAGTCCCAGGTGACTCAGTAGATTGTGGAGCAAACATGCAAGTCCAACAGTGTGATGAACACCAGCAGAGAAGAGGAGCTGTCAGGGTTTACATTTTGAAGGTTTCAGGCTCTACCACTAGAGCTGGGCTGTGATCGGTACATTGAAATGGAACAGAGTCCCTTTATACCCCTAAACAGATGACTGGCAGCTCAGTACCAGATGCACAAGATTAAACCAATTTACTTTGCTGTGCTTGAGCCATCTCCACAGCAGCTGGGCAGGTGACACAGCAGAGTTTGAAGGCCAGAACAATCTCTTACTGATGTAGTGACTCCAATATCAGCCCTTGTCTGGCAGCTAACCCAGAAGAGAGGGAGCTTTTGATTGAATTTTCAATGGACCTTGGAGAAGTGAACCTGGATAAACCTGCAAGGCTCACAGGAGAACATGTGAATATTGGAGAAGGGAAAGCCACACTTAATTTTAGGTAGTTTAAAGACTTCTGCTTCTTGTAGATTAATTGATCTTTGGAGTAGCTTCTCAGGTTAAATGTATTTCTGTCTGAGAAGGAAAATGGGAGCATCTTTTATTTTTTTATGAAGGAAATGCAAACTATCTTTGTTGGAGCACACGGACACTGTGGTGATGCAGAAAGGAGGCTAAGTAATCTGGTTTTGACATCTACATCACAATTTGAAACTGAAACTCCCCTAAACTTATCTGAGATTACCATAGGCTCCAGAATGAAGCTCACAAATCAGGTCTTAATTTATTACGCTTTTATTTTTTACCAGTTTCAGCTTTCAGATGTGCCCCTTTGATGCCTCCTTGCTCAGAGTACACTGCAGTGACAAAGGTGTGTAAATTCCCAATGGCCATATGTCTGGAATAAAAAAAAAAAATGGGCAGCATAACCCTATGATCTTTCCAAGTGTGAATATTTCATTCCTTAACAAAGTGTTATTGAAAGGCACTTGGAAATGCAGCATCACAAACACCCCTTTCCTGCTTGATAAGCCATGTGTTAATATTGCTTGCCCTTGTTTACCAAATTCCCAGCTGTATGACATGCACTAAGGTCTGGTGATTTATCATGCTATTCTGTGTATGTTAAGCATTGCTGCAATTCACACGATGTTAAGTGGTCAAGAAGAGCACACAAATAGATTTTTTGGACTCTTCAAATTTGGTGCCATTATATCCTTGACTAGGAAGTGGAGAAATAATGTTAAACTGGCTCAGAGCAGACTGGGTGATGTTGCTGAGTCTGAGGAGTAATAACCAACTTGACCCTGCTTTCATAACTCCATATTTCAACTGGGGGAAGAAAATGCAGAGTTTCCTTAGGGCCGGCATCTCAGGGAAAGTCATTGCTCATGCTGTGCTCCCATACCTAATTTAATTTCACCGGGGAGCAGCGATCGGCGTTCACGTCGTGATTCACAGATCATGGAGCAGGAAACAGCCTGTCAACTTCTAGCGAGCTGGAAGGGGGGAAGAGTTGCTCAGAGAAAAAACAAAAAGTCTGTTTTGTGAGGGAATTCAGCTCATGAGCACAGCAGGCAGACTTCAGTTCTGCTGTTGACTCCTGGTGAAGTCAGAGGAGTCACTCTGCAAGATTAATTTGCCCCTCAGTTTTTCAATTTGTAAGGTCTTGAGTGCAGAGGAGTCCTGTGGTGGATTAAACACAAAGCAAACAAGCAAAAAAGAAATATCATTCTTTCTCATCAAGAACCAGAGGCTTTTGAGACTTCAATTTGAACGTGCCCTTTCCATCCCAAATGAGCTGTTTTCCACAGCCTGACATCAGTTTGTACCCAACTGAGGACAGGAAAATGTGAATACTTTGCATCTTTTTGCAATTCACATCAATAACTGAAAGAAAGCATATTTACACTAGCATGCACATGGAAACATTGCTTTTTGTGTGTATGTGTGTCATGGTTTGACACTGGCACAATGCCAGTGCCCCCATGAAAATGTGATCCCTACCTTGAATGCTGTGAAGTGGAATCTAGAATAGAGCAAAGCAGGCCCAAGCTTAATAACAGGAAAAAACCTTTATTAAACTACCACTACAAAAGAAAAGAGAAAACTAAAGAAGGGAAAAAAAACCACACAAAGATCCAAATGAAAACCTTGCAAAACATTCCTCCCCCCCACCACCCAACTCCAACAAATCACAGTGAGACACAATCTGGACCCCAATCAGGTTTCCACCCTCCAAACAACCGATACTCAGTCCATCGAGGGAACAGAGTCTCTCCTGTGCCACAGACCCCCCAAGAAACACAGCTCCACATCCTGTGTTTCCATGTCACACATGGCACCGCCCAGAGAAAAAGTTTGCCATGGTGACCCTTCTCCTTTCCATGCACAGTGCTCTCACCACCAATGCATGGATGGTCAGACTGCCTTTAGGATTTTTCCTTTCAAGGATGCCCTGCCAAGAGGGGAGAAAACAACAGTTCAGTTTTTCATTGTTTGGGACCACAGTCCCCCCCCATCTTCCCCTGGGGCCGAGGGCTCAAGAACAGAGATCTTCTTCTCTTCTCTTTCCTTTCCAGGGCAAGGGGGCGCCACCACAAACCCCCTAACCTTTTCTCTGTTTGCTCCACTTTTGTCTTTTTCCCAGGTGAAGCAGGTCTCTTGACTCACTGGCATCCTCCCAAAACACAGTCCCTCTTGACGGAGAAGATTTGGTTCAGGTTGTGGCTAACACGGAAAAGTCCAGCCAAAAGCCACTCCTTGTCCCCCTCCCATCCAGAATTCCTCCTTCCAACATCCCATCCCAGGGTCCAAGGTGTCCCTCTTCCTCTCTTTCAAACTGAGGAGGGGAAAAGAAAATTCACAAAGCTTTCATTTCTCAAGGAAGGGTTAAAAGTCCGAACTCCCAGGATGGCTCGATGCCCGGACATCCAGCAACTCCCACACAACTGGGCACCTTGCAGCAGCTCCCCCCGCTCCTCCTTCCTTGCAGCTTTCTCTCTCCCTCTCGGGAGAAGAACTCTGGGGGGGGGAAATGGAGACATCCCAGATTTCTTCCACCCTTCCATCTGCAGGGGCCAGCCCGGTTCCAGTCCTTTCACCACCCTTGGGGCTTTCGGCCTACCTTTCTCAGGCCATGGGCTTCCCCTCCCCCACCCAGCTCGTGGCTGGGCGGGGGAAGGTCTGCACTGCACGCTGACCGGAACCAAAGAGAGCGAGTTCCCCTGGGAATTCTGCTTTCAACCCCTCTGTGTTCTCAGAGGCGTGTCTACTTTCAATTGGTCAATATCTAAATTGACCTCTTCCTTCCGGAAAAAATTATCTTTCCGTGTCAAACCACGACAATGTGCCTTGATGTTTCTTTATTAGAATTTTAATGTGCTTTCATTTTCTGTCTTCCATTATTATTTGTATCTGGATATTCTCAACAGCTCTTTTTTGGGGAAAAAAAGTGCAATAAACTTCAACCAAATTCAGAAAATACTTTCACAACTGCAGGTAGAGTTTAGCACCTCCAGCTGCTCTGATAACAGACAGAAACAGAACATGGGGAGAAGAGAGAGGCATGTCTATGTTAACCTTACGTGTTGGAGTTATTTCTCTGAAAGAAATTCCAGTTTCTTAATACAGTTGTCAACCACTGCATGTGTTGCTGGGGATTTTTGTGTTCCTAGAGAGACTTTTGTAATCTTTCTGCTATGGAATATTTTAGTATGAGAGTCAGTTCAAAATGTTATGAGGCTCCCTCCACCTCCCACAGATGCAGTCATTTCTTTCTTGTTTGTACAAGATTTGCAAGATCATTGGAAAGAATGTGAACAGCGAGAGATTACTGGGCTAATATATAAAAAATAACATAGATTAAGATCTTTTTCCTCCCAAATCGATGATGGCATTTCATGGGCACAGCAGAGTTACAGTCCTGGTTTGAAGGAAGAGTAGTGCCATCTGGTGATCCCCGGGAAAGGCTTTTCTGCACCTAAAGCTGCAGGATCATAAAGAGTGTGTGAAAAGTTCTGCTCAGTTGTACCATGGCTGCTGCCTCACACCCCTTCCTGAGGTACTGACTCACTTGGAGTGGTCACCTGGCACCAGGTGGCCTGGGTGGTGTGCTCATTTGTGGAAGTATTGGTGCTCTCTAGCCTGGAATAGCTGTTCAGACTAGGTCTTCTGTAATGTTCTCACTCCCATGCCCTTCTCCTGGTCTGGTTTTCACTGCTGCAGCTGGATGTCCTCACATCTGTGCTGCCTGACCCTTCCACCTTTCGCTGTGCCGCTGACCCCGTGAGACACTGGTGGGCAGGCAGAAACTCTCAGAGGAAGGACATTTTGGGTTCCCTTGGTCCATCCCCTGGGAGCTCCCAGTCCATGTGGGTCGGTTCCTGAGCGAGGCTGAGGCTGGGTTCCAGCACAAGCCCTGCTCTCTGCTCTCCTCCCTCCTCCTGTCCTGTCAGTGACAAGGGGCTGGCTGCAGATCCTCTGGAGCCTTGTGGGCTTTTCCATGGCTGTCAGCTTGATGCAGGGAGAAAAGCTTGTCCTGTGTCAAAGGTGGGTTCATAAATTGCTTATACAGGGCTAAATGAACCTCATTTTATAAGCATAAATCGTTACTGTGTGTGGTTAGAAGCCTGCCCATGGACAGGGTTTGTTTAAAATAATTTATTTTGTGCACTTGGTGGAACGTTCTTTGGGTGGTTTGCATTTAGGCTGGTCACATATGCAAGCCCTTAGAGCAGGCCCTATATTTTATGTAGGGTCAGAACATGGTTTTATCTTACTTGACTGGTTTCAAAGTATACCCAAACCCACACAAATCAGGTTTCAGAGTTGAGTGTGAAGTCCTATTTGTAACTTGTCTGTTTGTTTGTAGGTGGCATGGGCTTATAGGGCTGTCTTTATACACAAAACATGAAACGGTCTTTAGAGACAGTTTTTGGTTTGTATTTTCTTCTCTGGTTAAAAAAACAGTCAACTAAATGTTCATTCATTTCCTTCCAATCAGTTCCCCTTCCCTAATTTAAACTAAGACATTAACATGTGTATGAGGTATATTACTGTGTCTTTGTATAGAACTAGATAATTATATAGTTAGTTATGACTTAAAGACATGTTTATACTATGCCAGAAAAATGCCATCCTAATTGAAGGCATCTTTCCTAAAAGGCAGAACAAAGTGGGTCCTCATCACGTTGCTTTCTTGTGCCACCTTGATTTTATTGACAGGAAACCAAACACATTTCTTTGATCTGTCAGTGAAAAATAAAAGGGCATGTGGATAAAAGTGTTGTGTATAATTAATTTGGTTGGGTATTTCATTTTGCTGTAGCATCATACAGAATGCTTCAGCTTTACTCTCCACAGTAGCTGTAACTTGCATTAAAAGAGGAAATGGAGACAAATAAATTTTTACTTTGATTAAGGGTAGTCTTCAGATTCCTGGAAAAATGCCAACCTGTTGCACAGTGAGCATTACTGATATGTATTTTCTGCTCTGTGTTAGCTAGGATTGACAGTAATTAAAAGAACAAATCATTTAAATGAAGTGATTCTTCTTTCTAGAGAAGGTTGTTTCCTAATGTTGTTGCCCAAAAGTCTCTCAAATGCATTAGGAGAAGAAGGAGGCTGTACAGAGAGAATTGATTAGCAATTTACATCTTTATTTTTTTTACTCTAATGGGATAAATAGGATATCTGGGGCCACTTGTAACACTCAGATGGAAGCAGTCAGGAAGATCCTAGAGAATTAGGAAGACACAATCCATATGCCTTATCAGCTGATCAGCCAGAGCACTGTATGGCAAACAATTCAGCATGTGGTCTGTTTCAATTTGTTAACAAATATGTTTACACAGAGCACCGTGATGAGAGATGCACATGACTGCTCGCCAAGGTCAGGGGTACGAAGTCAAGTGTTTTCTTGTGATTAAACTGGTCTTTTATCTTTGTTGTACTGAGCTTAACCCCTCAAAGTTAAACTGACTTTGGGGAGAGATCTTTTGTGTCAATACCTGCCTTAGGTCACCAGTGTTAACAAACCTGAATATTGAAGTAATCTTGGAGTAATCTTGGACCCCACTTAATTCAACTATGAGCCTCTGACCACAAGAGACACACTAAGCTTCTACAGAAGTCTAATGCAAAAAACAATGCAAATATGGGCACCAGGCTGTTCTTCACAAAGAGAAGCCATAACCTTTTTGGAAAAAAAAAACAACTGAGGAATTTTATTTCATCATTTTCAAACTAAAGATTTAAGTTTTGAGAAGTTGATGCGATTTCTTTTTCCTATCTTTTTATAAAACTGTTCTAAAATTGCTGAAGCAAAGCCAAAATAAGCCCTTTCTGTCTCCAGAAATTCCAAAACCAATAATTTTTCTGTCAGTACAAAATACTTCTTGTGTTTGTCTAAAGTTGTCAGTGCACTCTGAATCCTTGAGCTGCCTGGTTTGAGCTGTTGTTTCTCGTTTGTGAGGACACCACACTGTTCTC